GTTGATCTATTTACTCATCTTTCATATGCATGAGGCCAACCCGAGCTCTACCCCGCTTTCGTCTACAGCTCGTATGCGGCTGTTTGATGGTTCCTCGTCAGCTGATGCTACTCTTTATCGTCAGGTTGTTGGTGCGCTTCAGTATCTTGTCACTACTCGTCCGGATGTTGTTTTCGCTATTAATCGACTTTCCCAGTTCATGCATGCTCACAGGGATGTGCATTGGCAGTACGTTAAATTTCTTCTTCAGTCCAAGATCGGGCCTGCCGACACCGCCTCCATCTTGCGGGGGCGTATTAGGGATAAGCGATATATGTGTTTTACTTGTACATTAAGTTAGCTTGTGTATACGTTTCCTACTCCTTGTAGTACACTGCTATTGTACTCCTTGGGTTTATATTCCCCTTGTGATAGTAATAATACACACAATTCCCAAACCATACACATCCCTCCCCTTGATAATCCCATTTGTTTAATAGAACGATAAATATTTTACGTAAAAGTTATGAACGTCGCATAATTTTTATATAGTAGTCAATTGAAACGTGTTATGTAAAGGGAATCATAACGTAATATTTCATTACATAAAGCTCGTGATTCACAATTCTATAAAGATTACGTAAAATAAAAATACATTACATAAAAGTTATGGAATCAAAGTTATTTTTCACACACTAGTGTAACAAATGTGTTGTGTACTAGGCTATCTAGTTGTGCACACTCTAGTAAATATGTGTCAATTTTTATCGGGTAAAATGATTATCTATTCTGTAAAATTTATATATGTAGCTAGCTCTATTATATAATTGTTAAGTAAGAGTACCACACATTACACAAGCATCTACAAATATATTATAGCAGAGTAGGGGGGCAGTTTTTCAACATTTCAAATTTCCTGCAACGAGAGCGAAAGTAGGAAGGGTAATTGTGTCTTCACAATCATTATTATTTATTTTTTATTGATAAAAAAATACATCAACCTCAAGATTCGAACCATGGTCTTTATAAACTAAGACAACAGCCAATACCAACAACACTAAAGAAATCTTTTATATCTTTTTAAGTAAAAAATCTGAAAACCTGAAATCTAAAAATTATACGACTTTTCCACTACTGTTAGCTAGTCCATTAAATTTCCCGTATGTAATTTCATTGTTATTTTATATTTTAATTTTCATATTTTGATTATTTTAATTTTAGTTTAATAATAAATTTAATTTATGTCTATCTTATAAATGGAGGATAATTTTAAAATTGAAACCCAAATATCATTGATCCGAATATTACATATTGAATTGCAGTATTAAATGTGTAGATATGATATTAATTTTTATAACTATTAAAGCAACGATATTGTTATGCAAACTTTAAGTGACCGGCTTTTTAAAAAATTTAGTTTGGTTTACTGTTAAATCCTCAATCTCTTAATAATATGACATGATTGGAAAAATGAGTGAGTTTAAAAGAACACAATTTCTGAATACCAATTTTTCGAGATGATTTCAATTATTAAATATTTTCTCTTATATGATAATTGACCATATGTATCGTTTATAGTTAATTAGTTTAATATAAAATAACCGCAATACAAGACAAATCATGAAATTCGAGCTGGAGTTTTCATGGATGCATTGATGTGATCATGTGCATTAGCAAGGTATGTACGACAAGATAGGTTTAATTTTTTTGTTTAGTGAATAAGATTGTACTTCAGCTAAATTTAGAGTATGTTGGTTGATACATAATTTTTTCATTGCATAGAGTATGGATGGAAAATGTTATTTTCTTACTAATTTTGTTATTTTATTGTGAAGAATACTTTAAGGTTTATATATTATTATATATGTATTGTTTCTCAATCATAAGAAATAAATATTGAATAAAGGTTATGATCACAAGTTTCCTATTTATACTACGGGTTTTTAGACAAACTTTTTTTTGTTATATCAATTTTCTTTTGAGAGTGACTGCATCATTAAATTGACTATTCACGAGTGTTATAACCAAGGTTGTTACACCTCTACCGGGAGGCTGGTTGGACTAGGTTCGACCAAAGTTGTGTTCCAAAACCGGCTCTACAAAATAAAGTGTCTGATCGTTACAGAGGGAGAAGAAGAGAGAGGGAAGGGGGAGGGGAGAAAGGCTAGAGGATGGTGGGTGGATCTTGAAAAATGTATGTTTTCTTATGAAATTTGAGTTTTTAATAGATATAAGTTATTACATTCCATTTCAGTCACTAAATTTCTATCTTATATGTAAATATATTTAGAAAATGTGTAAAACGGCTCAAACAGGTTGGACCTCGATCAAACCATTAATTTTCAAACTACTTGCTTGACCGACTCAACAACTTGAACCGGTTTGACAACTCTGGTTATAACAATTAAGCTTACAATGTTCATCATTGATGAAAAGTTATAAGAATTTCGAAAATGGAAAAATAATTTTGATGTCACATAAATGTCATACGAAATTCAGTATTTCAAGTAATTTAAATTTTTTTTAAATACAAATCATACATACATTGTATTCAATGACATTCCGACCAACGGATCGGACAACAAGCTATATATTATATATATATGGGGAGTTCTACGGTACCCAGGGTGAAATCCGGGGTACCGCATACCTTGAGTAAGAAAATGCTATCCAAAACTTTGAATTGACTGATCTTTCGGACATGATACTATACTCTAACCCTTAAAGATCAAAATCTAGGTCTTAATTTTCTAAATCTTATACCCCAAGATCAATTTAATTAGAAACAATAATCGACGGTTATGATTCATCCAAATATAGGCAAAAAATAATAAATGCACATCTTAGGGTTTATAGTTTATGATTTAGATAATTAGGACCTAGGGTTCACTCATTAAGGGTTAGGGTATAGTATCATGCCAAAAAATCCTGCTAATTTGATGTCTTGGTAGCATTTTCATACTCAAGGTATGCGGTACCCCGAATTTCACCCGGGGTACCGTAGAAGGCACCATATATATATATATATGGGCTAATACCACTAGAAAACCCGAACTATTAACTTTGTGTCATTTGTGTCCTAAAGTATTCGATATGACATTTGTGTCCTAAACTATTTGTCCGTTAGAGTTGACTGGCGTTGACCGTTAGTTTTTAACTGAAAATCTAGTCAGCGATGATGTGGCATCCGACGTGGAATATTATTATTTATTATTTATTTATTTTATTATAAAAATTAAATAAACTAACAAAAATTAAATTACAAAATACAAAAAATTAAATATAAAAATCCCAAAACCCAAACCCATCTTCATCCTCACCTTCGCCGCCGACAACAGATCCTCCTCCTGGCCGCCTATGACGCCGTCACCTGCAATAAACAAGAATAAACCAATATCAAATACCATCTCCAAAAATCCACCAAATTCCATCTCCGAAACCCAACCCAGATCTCAATGGCCGTCAGCCAGCTGCTCTTTACCCGAAAAGTACGAAGTTCGAAACTTTCGGGGGTTGGTCAGAGATCAGACTCATTCCAAAGAACACTCTCAATCCACCTGCGTCAATGGTGGTCACCCTTACCTTCAACCGTCTCCTTCCTTCCCCAGCAACTCTGCGTTCTTCTACTTTCGCTCTGAATTTACCTTCCAACTATCCTCCTCCACCATCCAATCCCCGCTCAAAAGTTCCCTCTGGCGTAATTCACCTAACATCTTTCTCACTTCCGTTTGCTTCTTTGAATCTGTTGATTATCGGATTTTCTTACTGGCCGCAGCTGAAGCAGAGGATCTGTGGAACCGACGAAGGAAGAGGAGTGTTGATATGCAGGGCGGCAGGAACGAGGGATTCAATTTCGATTTCAATTTTCCCAGATGACTCGAAGAAGAATGAGAGAAAGAGGGAGATGGGTTGAGGAAGGTAGCGATGAGATGGGAAGTGAAGATCGATTTTGGGCTTGATTTTAGGGGTTAAGAATTTGCAGAGACGGTAAAACGGAAAGGGGAAAAGCTGCGGGGAAGAAGACGATGGATTGGGAAGGAGGAAGATTTTGACTTCCTTCAATTCTGGTCGTCTTTAGCTTTCTCCACCAAATGAAAATGGGCTTTAGAAATTACTCTGTTTTGCCTCGGGTGCTTGGAAGGAAGATGAACAGCAATTGTTAATTTCCTTTACTTGTTTTTATTTTAATATTTAGAAATAATATTAATTAATTGAGTTTACATTTTCTTAATTTTTATAACAATATATTATTTTTTATTTAATTTTTAATTAAAAATATGAGGTGTCATTGACGTGGCATCTACGTGGCTGCCACGTCAACAAAAGTCAATGTTAATGTGGACTTCCGTTTGGTTGACCGTTATCTATAACGGTCAACGAAATCGTCAGGACATAAATGACACACAACTATCTTAGATTGTGACACAATTGTCATATCGAATACTTTAGGACACAAATGGCACAAAGTTAATAGTTCGGGTTTCCCAGTGGTATTAGCCCTATATATATATATATATATTGCATAATTTACTTGTAAAACCTTGCAGTACATAAGTTCAAATAACTATTATTATATTGACTTATAGTCCTAATAATAAAAATTTCTTATACCTTCTAAAGTAAGAAGCATACACTTCATCCTAATGTAACCTCTTAGATTTGATTTGAGTTCACATAAAATCAAAGGATCATATATGAAATATGATTATACACAAATATATAACTAAGGATTATGGTAAGCTAAATTCCGGGTCCATTTTGCCCAAATCCCCAACACTCTTCCTTGACTATATATATCCATTCCATTTGCCCTTATAACTCACACACTTTCTTATCGTGAGTTCGTGACTTGATTTATCATATATATATCATTTCAGCTTCATCGATACTTTGGAATATCCCAAACTTGGCCTCTATTAATTACGTTTTCTCCAACACATTTCTGTGATTTGTTGCTAATTCTTCTCCTTAATTATCAGATTCGCGCGTTAAGGTGTACCCAATATATGGGGAGTATCAAAATGGTATCATTGGTGGAGGTAGTAGTAGTCGTAGTAGTGTTGTCGTGGCTGCGCCTGGCAGAAGGAGCTAGAGGAGCCGATCACGATGATGAAGTCTTAAAGCACTGCCATTTTACACGGTATCCTGGCCGTTGTTGGCAGGCCTTGGTCGCAGAGCTCGACGAGAGTCACAGGAGTAGTAAGCAGCAGCTTGTCGGTGATCATCTGGGCCAGATTAGCGTGCTGTCAGCTCTTGTTCGCAAAACCATTTCAGAAACCAACCTGCCATCTTCCCACTTCACCATTCTTGACTCCCGCATGGAAATCAGCCAAGCTCGCCGTGCCCAATCGGCCTCAGGTAATTGCCAACCGCTCTACCTCTACCTTGGCAGAATATTGCAGACATTTTTTGTTTTCTAGTTGACGGATATTGATTTTTGCCCGTGACGTAGAGTATTGCAAGAACCTGACGGGGATGTCCCTACAAAGTCTTGGTCAGTCGCTGTCGGCTCTCCGGAATTCTCCAACCAAACGCAAACACGACATCCAGACGTGGTTGAGCTCCGTCCTAACTTTCCACCAAGCTTGCGCAGATTCCATCCACCACAGTCTGTCCACCGCGGACGCCGCATCTCACATCTCCCGGAAGACGAGTTACCTCTCCCAGCTAATCAGCAACGCCCTCTCACTCGCCAACAGGATCACTAGTAGTGATCATAGTCATAGTGCTAATAAGACGAGTACTAGTAGTGGTAGTGGGGCGGGATTTCCAGAATGGGTATCCATGAAGAACAGGAAGCTGCTGCAAGGTGGTGGTGGTGTTATTATTAGGGCGAACGCGGTGGTGGCCAAGGACGGGACTGGGAACTACGAGACCATCTCGGCGGCCATTGCGGCGGCTCCTGGCCGGAGTCGGTTCGTGATATACGTGAAGGCGGGAGTTTACAATGAGAAAATTCACACCAACAAAGATGGCATCACTTTGGTGGGAGACGGTAAATATGCTACTGTGATTGTTGGCCGTGATAGCGTCAATGGCGGCTCTACCATGCCCGGCTCTGCCACATTCAGTTACTACTCTCTCTCTCTATTTCTCTCTCTCTCTCCCTCTCTTTATGTCTCTCTCAAATAAGGCTTACAAATGGTAGGGTATGTAGTGCCTACTACAATTGGAGTTTTCTGTCATCACGTGAACTTACTCAGATTACTTACTCTCTTTAACTAGCTTTTGAGTTGGTATGTGCTAGCTAGCAGCATGTATTTTGCTCACGTACGTACGGACGTACTTCTTTCTGGGTCGGGCTCAATTTTTGTTACCATTCATGAGAAGGATGAGTGATCAAAGTAAAGTAAATAGACTTTTAAACTCTCTAGTTTTCGTTTCCTTTTACAAAGGAAGGATTTCTGCCCTTCTACCACATTACTCGACTGTTCGTAGGGCGGCGGGCCTAGAATAGCGGTCTGGGATAGAGTCAGTAACCAATGGATACTGACCTATCAGTAAATGCATGCACACCGTAGATCTAGGGGGTGGATTAATCATGCGGCTGGGCTGAATGCGGGGTCCAAAAGGGCATATTTGTCCGTTTATAAATTTTTATTTTTATTATATTCCGATTTTAATGTCCGCTTTTTCAAAAAAGAGCCACTTTTAATGGCTGCCTTTTAAAAGGAGGAGAGAGAATCAGTTATCTGCAACTCTCTTTTTTCTTTCTCCCTTCCTTCTCTCTTCCTTTTTCTCTCTCAATCTCCTTTTCAGATTATTTCTCTTTCTCTGTTCCTTTTTTTTCTCTCCAATCTCTTTCTCCATATCTAGATCTGCTTCCTTCTCTTCTTTTTTCGTTTTTTTTTCTTCAGCAATCGACGAAGAAAAATTGCAGTCACCCTCTTTCATTGCGTTTTTTTTTGTCTCTTCATCAACTCGTTGGCCTCAATTTAGGTCTTTCTCCCTTTTTTGCACTACAACAATCAGCACTTTCAGCGACAAAAAATTTCGTCGCTAAAAGTCGATAATTCGTCGCTGTATGTTTTCTGCGACGAACAAGAGCGTCGCCTAAGAGGGTGTCCTATCGTCGCATATACCGCGTCGCCCTAAGGGTATAGCGACGAAATTATTGCTGTCGTCGCTAAAACATGTGTTCGTCGCAAAACGTATTCAGAATAGCGACGATAGTATTTGTCGCTAAATAAATTATTTACGACGACAGTTTCGTCACGAAAGAGTGGATAGAGGCGACACCTCTGTCGTCGCAAATGGGGTGATTAGGCGACGATGGTTTCGTCGCCAACTATTTTTCAGCGACGCTTTCCTTCGTCGCTATTGATATTTATAGCGACGAAATTGTTCGTCGCACTAGAGAAGACTCTTCAACGACGAACTATTCCGTCGCAAAACGTCTATTGTTGCATGATGTGTGCCGTTTCAGCGACGACTATTACGTCGCAAATTTACTTTTAGCGACGAAAGTTAGCCTTTTGGCGACGGAATAGCACCCTGATTGTTTTCTGCTGTATTTTTCCACTGAATTAAGCTGCTGATAATGGACATTCTATATGCAAACAGAATCGCTTATAATATATATATATATATATATATATATATATATATATATATATATATTCTCAATAATCTCCTTACATAGTATCATACATGAGATTAAACATCCTGTGACAGTTGTAGTATTCCAAAATAAGCTCTATGTCTAGAACTATGCAGTACACGTTAGCACTACCCATCTATGCTCAAAAGTGTCACGATATATATGCGCAACCATGCCAAAATATATGCCACGCATTTGATCTTCCTGCACAAGAAAATCAATCAATGACAATATTGAATTTAGTATGATATTTTGATTGACTATGGAAATAATTCATATCCATATATAAGATACATTTGGTCTTACCTAAGTTCCTAAATCAACTAAACGTTCTTCCCAACACATACAATGTGCCCAAAATAATTCCCATCAGAATAGTATTCTACATTAAAGATCAAACAAGAAAAACACAAGTTACCACACATACAAAAAGACAAGTAAAGCATCCGAAAGAAAAGTACAAGGTACCAAACAAATAAAAGCAAGTTACCATACATAAAGAAAGGAAAGACCTTTCTTTTTCACTCATCTTCATTTCCACAAAAAAAAAATTACTCAACAATCGAAAGAACTAACCAAGCAGCAACACAAGCAAGGCAAAAAAGCATCTAAAATGTATGAAAAGAGAGTCTTACCAGAGGTCTAGGCCCGGGAGGAGATTACTCTTCATAAGGTAATCAGCAATCTTCTCAAACTTTGCTATTTTTTGATCTGACACTACCTGTTTCTCATCTGCCTCAGCTAACTTTTGATTAGCCACCGCTACCCTTTCGTTCAATTGACTCACATTATCCTCAAGATTCAGACACCTTTCTTGCAACTCGTTCTTGTCTGCTTTTAGTTGCTCGTTATCCTTTAGTACTTGTGCATAATTATATTCCCCACGAAGTCTTTTTAGAGTGTGATTGGCGACGAACAAGAACCGAATGGGCTCCCATAATCTGCATATAAGCTTCATCTTCATATATTGGATTGTCACTCTCTCGAGTGCTTTCCACAAGTCCATGCATCTTGTCCTACACAAAATATGTGAGATGAGTATCATATCATTGAAACAGAACAAGCTTATTCTCTTTAAAATAGCCAAACACCAAACTCAACTTTTATATAGACTGGCAGCCATCATCTAGAAATGCAGCCTAGTTACCTTAGCTTTTTCAGCTTATTACTCACTTTTTCTCCAAGCTTTAAGCTTATTACTTCTAAATAAACGGAAAATTTCTAGAAATGCAGCCAAACACCACACTTCTTAAAATGGCAGAGCATAATATATACACAAACATGCAAGTAAGGATACATAGATTTAAGTGATTAGAAAAACTTACATATAGTTCTTTCTTAGCTAAGATCATACAATAATTATATGCAAGCCCTACAACCGTGACTCACTAAAGTCATCACACACATCACAAAACCCACACTAAAGCAAGCAAAGTAAGTTCAGTTTCCTCTTCTTTCTCTTTTCAAATCTAAATAAGTACATAAGAATACAAATAATGTAGCTCAATCTCCTCCATAGACCAACATGCCTCCACTTGACCAACACTTAACTTATGTATAGTATTAGCAAGTTTTAGGTTCTAAAAAGCATCAGCTCCTTTGGTACCTTGCAGAAGTACCAAGGCGGTGTAAGGTTGTACCTGTTGGAGTAGCAAAACTTGGTATAGGTTGAATTCAGCTTGGACAATTCAAATCTTGAAACTCTTGCGGTCTTACTTTCCTCTCTAAGCTCCTAGCACCTCCTCCTCTTGATGACGGTTGGTATTATAACTCCTGACTTATTAAAAGTAATATTGGTTCTTGTAACAACTACTAACCCTTCTAATGACTTCACCACTAAATATGATGAAATTACATAAGTACTAAATAATCTCCTCAAAGCAAATAGAACCCCTCCCCATCCCATATGCGTCTGGAAAAAGCTTCTGCCCCTTTTGCATTTAGAGCAAGGAGCGACAACCTCTAGTTGTAAAAAACCAGAAGAAACAAACAGGAGCAGGGGCATTTACATTCTTTCTTTCTTTCTCCTCTACACATCACACAGTTGTCTCTTTCTTCAAGAATAAAATTAATATGCATTCTATTGGACAAAATTAGGAATTGGCCATATATGCAACTATCTCATGATCGACACATAACACAATTAATAATCTGAAAATAGTGTGAAAGAGAGAGAGGAAGGCGTACCCGCACGAGTCGATACCTGCCATAATATTCATCAGGGCACAATTCAGTCCAAGTCTTCATCCTTTTCGAAAATTAAAGGGAAGTTAGTGTGATAGCCTGGGAGAGGGAAGGAGGGAGTAGTAGTAGGCTGATGATGAAGAAGGAAGTAACATACCTTGAGTCTGAGCGAGCATCGGGAGAGGGCAGAGAGAGACCGGCGAACAAGGAGGGAGATTTGCTTAGTGCCGATGAGTCAATCAGGTGGAAAAATAATCACTAACAGCAACAAATTGCAAGACGACAACTGAAATAGGGAACAAAGGATTCGGATTGGGAGATTGCGAGTTGGCTAGGGTTTTATGAGCAATGAGCTATCACCTGAAATGGAAGACGACGAGTGACCGAGAGCTATCAATCAAGAAACCATCTTTTCGCCTTCGAGAACAAAGCTCAAGACAAGACTGAAATCATGAACAAGGGTGCTGGATTTCGAAATCGGGACTCGGTTGTGGCTTCAGAAATGGCGACCTGGAGATGGAGGCTTGGAGGTCTCGATTGGAATGGGGGAGAAGATAATGAACGAAGTGTGGGGGGAATTAAGTGTTTTGGTTGTTGAATACCAAAACGTGTCGTTTGATGTTAAATCCGGCCAGAACGATTTTGGGCCCAAATACGTTTCGAAATAAGCCCAAAACCGAAAACACAGTGTCAAAGTTTCGACGCACGAAACGGATCATTAAAGAACCTAAAACGACGTCGTTTTCTATCCTTCTTCCGCGACGAATTCTTTGGCGCAACGTGGCATCCTTTTCAGCGATGAAAACTAATCGTCGCTAAAGCCCAAACAACTCTTGCGACGGTAATACTTCGTCGCTGAATATCTCTTACCCTTCTGCGAAGAAGTTGCCTATCAATTTTCGTCGCCCAAACGTCATCACCCTTCTGCGACGACAAAAGCAATAAAATATCGTCGCCATAGGTATTGCATCGACCTCAATCTAAGTCGATTCCTTTTTGCGACGAACTTTTACATTTCGTCCCTGAAACCTGATCTTTTGCGACGAAATATCATTTCGTCGCCAAAATTTCGTCGCTAAAAGTCAATTTTTTTGTAGTGTTGGCGTTTGGTGTTCTTGATTGCGGAGGAAATGAGACGAAATAGAAGACGAGTTTTTTTCCTCTCCATCCTTCTGTTTTTTTTTCTTTTAGGTAATATATATTGATATTAACATGCTATACTATACGGTATTGTGTGGTAACGAAATATATATTGATATTACCGCACTATATCATATGGTATAGTGTGATAATATCACACTATACCATATGGTATTGTGTGGTAACGAGATATATATTGATATTACCACACTATACCATATGGTATTGGGTGGTAACGAAATATATATTGATATTACCACACTATACCATATGGTAATGTATGGTATTGTGTGGTAACGAAATATATATTTATATTACCACACTATACCATATGGTATTGTATGGTATTGTGTGATATTACCACACTATACCATATGGTATTGTGTGGTAACGAAATATATATTGATATTACCACACTATACCATATGGTATTGGGTGGTATTACCAAATATATATCGATATTACCACACTATACCATATGTATTGGGTGGTAACGAAACATATATTGATATGACAAATTTTTCATACCATATGGTATGGTCTTATTTAATACCAGTCAGTCAATACCATATGGTATTGACTGGTAATAACTGACAATTTTTTTTATGTCCAAAAAATATCAAAGTGGATATCATTTTGAAGAGCACAATTAATCTGATCTAACTGTGTAAAAAAATTAAATTCTGACTTAAAACGAGTGAGAAATCGTCCGTTAAAGATTAAGGGAAAGAAAATTAAAGGTTTTTCGAGGAGAGAGAAGGAGGCGCTGATGTGGTCTGGTCAAAAGTCAGCGTCAGCAATAAATAAGGATAAGTACAAATTTACCTTTCTGCCCTTTTGCATTTAATTTAAATAAAAAAAGATGGCTGACACGTGAGGACAGGGGAAGGGGTTACTGATGGGTTACTGACCTATAAGTTACTGACAAGATCTGCTCCCTAGAATAGCGCAAGGCATTATGTTATTGTTAGTGGGTCGCTGTTTAACAACTGTAATTGGACCAACTTAATTAATTCCCACATTAATTAATTAATTAATTTGACATAAAATTTCTGATTGTCTAGCACTCTCTCAGTCTAACTGAACTGATCCCCCTCTGCACTGCATGTGCTCAACTAAACGTAATGTGATTGAATAATAATACATTAATAATCGATTGCCTGCCTGCCTCCATCTGCCTTTCCCAGCTATCACAGGCGACGGATTTATTGCAAGAGACATCGGCTTCCAGAACACGGCGGGTCCCGCCGGAGAACAGGCAGTGGCTCTCTACGCCGCATCCGACCACTCCGTCTTCTATCGCTGCAGCATGACCGGCTACCAAGACACCCTCTACGCCCTCGCCCTCGCCCTCCGCCAATTCTACCGCGAGTGCGACATCTCTGGCACCATCGACTTCATCTTCGGCAACGCCGCCGCCGTCTTCCAGAACTGCAACATCCTCCTCCGCAGGCCCCGACCCGGGAATTCCAACGTCGTCTTCGCCAACGGCAGGACGGATCCGGGTCAGACGACCGGCTTCTCCCTCCAGGCCAGCCGTATCTCCGCCGCCTCCGATCTTGCACCAGTCAAGTCCAACTTCGACTGCTACTTGGGCCGCCCGTGGAAGCAGTACTCCAGGGCGGTGGTTATGCAGTCCAGCATCGACCCCACCATTTCCTCCAAAGGATGGGCCGAGTGGCCCGGCCAGGGCTCCTTCTCCAAGACGCTCTACTTCGGAGAGTTCTCCAATTCCGGGCCTGGTGCAGGCATGTCAGGCCGGGTCAAGTGGGCCGGATTTCATGCTCTCGGGCCCCAAGAAGCCGCCAAATTTACCGTCGGCAATTTCATCGCGGGGAGCTCATGGTTGCCTTCAACTGGTGTAACTTTCATTGCAGGACTCTAGTAAATGTTTCCTTTTTCTGAACTGGCCATAAATATTAATTGAAGTAATGGACCATGTAAATTGACTCTATATCAAGATATAGCTCAAAAAACTACACTGAAGCATAGAGGAGGAAGGTGTGCTCTTCACTGTGCTCCAAAACAAAATCAAAAACTATGTTCTCCCTCTTATTTAAAATTTGAATATAATGTACTTCTCTTTTCAAGATACACGAAATGTTTGGTCCGTTTCCCAGGAGTAATTAGCATGGGAGTAGGCACAAGCCTATAAGTACAACATGATAAAATGCATTTGCATAAGTCAAGGTGGTTGAGTCTTTTTCCTATTGGATTGTTGAATGGTTGAGGTCTGACCCTAGTGTTTTGACTTGATTGCTAGATGTATGATAGGGGTATACTTTGTTATGAACTCATGATGCAATGATTGTCGCACTCAGCTATGAGTTGACCCTCTTTTATTCTTTTCTTTTGCTTATGCCATGTGTAAGAAGATCATCAATAATGTTAATTATTGATTGAGAGATAGATAACATTCATGAGACGACAGATGACATTAACTACTCATGCTGCTCTGTAATGTTCCATACCTCATTAGCTAGTTCCATACCTCATTAGCTACCACCTAGCTGTATAGAGAATGGCTCCATACTCATATTCGTTTGTATATACTCATGATCTAATCTATATAACATAGGCTTTTCTAATAACAATTCTATCCAACCAACTTGGTATCAGAGCCTCTCTTATTCAGAAAGTTAAGTTCCAAATTTCAACCAATCTGTAATCCCAGTTCACATAACAATATCCATACCTTTGTCCTTTGTTCATAGCAGCCACCAAGCCTCTGTTTTCTTTCTTGCTTACTCTTTTTTAGCATATCCGCAGTTGTCGTCACTGCTGTCTCTGTCTCTGTTTACCATAGCCGCAACCGTCGTTGCTGCTACTTCATATCAGCGGCTTCTCATCACCACTGATTCGGCTGGAGCTGAATCTGTCATGTCGTTGATCAGACCATTTTTCTACCGTCCCAACATCTGTCATTGTCTCCGGCGAATCCTCATTCTACTCGTCACCACTCTGGGTCCTGTTGACTCTAGGTTCACTTACGTCGTTGCTGTCTCTTAGCCCTACCCTCACTACAAGAAAATATGGTTTTAGCAACTAAAAGTCTACAACACATAAATTATTTGTCTCTTATTATGCAATACACAACTATTATTTTATTTGCCTCCATATATAATATTAAATGCCTCTAAAACTATTAATTTTTTATATTTAATTTTGATCAAATCAAAAAATTATTTTAAGCGGCACATTTTTTAATTATCCTCTAAATTTTTGCCTTCCTATCTATGTAAAAAAAGATATAATTATTAATGGAGGCAAATAATTATTTGGTGCTAAATAGAAGGTTTTATAGGCTTAAAAGAAAGCTGCTATTGCTCCTTGGCTAGGCCGGTGAATTATTTTTTTTTTTTTTAAGGAGAAACAATCATAATTGCCTCTAAAAAAGGTCCTAATTTTTCTGTTTTATTATGATAGTGTTCCTAATTTTATGTTTTATTATTAATTTATTATTAGTGATAATAAAGTAATAATACAAAAATGGTGAATATAATTTAATTAAATTGCATGATAGACTCCAAACAGCAACAAATTGGCGGAAAAGGAGTTTAGAGGATTTCCACATTTATGTATTTTTTATTATAATTAGCAGGAATCAAGTGAAGATTTTTCACAAAGTCCAGAAAAGGTAAGAGAGAAATAGGAGGACGGGCTACCCAACTTTCCTAGGAGTCCCAATTGCATATTGTGTGGGCCATCAGTTGGGCCGCTCCATTTCCTTCTCTTTTCATAAAGCTCCACCGGACCGGGCCCAATCTGGCCGCCTCTTTCAGTTCTTTGATCAGCGTCCCAATCTCCATCCTCGAAGTCTCTGTCTTCTCCAATGCGAAAAATGCTCCCTGGCAATCAGTTTCGATGATCACCAAGTTGAAACTATTTCTCTCCATTTGCTTGAGACCAAAAGCCATGGCCTTAATCTCTGTCAGCTCTGGAGTCCATTGAATGCGCTCTCGGCCAACCGCTGTCATCAAGAAGTGGCCTCAGTCATCTCAAGCAACAGCCCCAAATCTCGTCCCTTCATCCTTCAGTACCGCAGCATCAACGTTCAGTTTGATCCATCCCGCCGGCAGAGGTTCCTAAGTGACTCTCTCCCTTTGCTTCAATTCCACTTCTTTGGAGTGATGAGACTTGAATTCCTCTCAATAGGTTAGGGCTTTCCCTGCAATTTCCCCTTCTTTTGTTTTTCGATTACTGAACAGCTGGTTATTGAGCTCATTCCAGATTGTCCATAGAAGCACACGTAAATGACTTAGAGTGTGATCATCCACCCTTTCCATAAACTCGCAAAGCCAACTAGCAGAGGATAGATTGGGTTCTAGCTCGAATAGGGGTTTGAAACATGTAGGACGCCAAATCCTAGATACCCACCGACACTCTCTGAAGATGTGGTTCTGGGTTTCCTCCAAATTTCAGAATAGGCATTCTGTGGGGGCATCCTTCTTTTATTTTTCCATATTCTTCCTTGTAGGCAGGATGTCGTGTATGAGCCTCCATAAGAACATCTTGATCTTAGGAGGGATCACCAGCTTCCACATTCGTTTCCAATTCATTGGGTCATAGACCTCAGTTTCTATCCCCGCCGGTTCTGTTTCATCATTAGCTTCTGGTTCATCTTCCTCAAAGATCCCCGAAGTGCTATTTAGCTCTTTGTGAACTAGCTTGTAAGCTGTTTTAACAGAGTATAATCCACTTTTTTCGAGAGCCCATACCTTTGTATATGGTACTGAATGGCGTGGGATTGGATTCCCTCAATTCGGGTTCTATCCACTTTTGTAATTGACAGGTTGGGTAAATTGTGAAATTGTTAAAACTGGGTTGGCCCGGTTAAAGCAAGTTGAACGCAGTATGGAGTGTGGGAGCGAGTTTTATTTGCTTTTGTAATTGGCGTGTTGCGTCAGGTGTGAATTTGTCCAAAACTCGGTCCAACTAGGTCCAAGCGAGTTGAACCTGGTGTTGACGAGTTTTGAGTCAGTAGCGAGTTTTAGCTTTAGTTTTTTATTACGGTTTTTACTTTTGTTTGAGAAAGACAAGTTGATAGGGCAAAAGCGTATATGCCAATTTCCTATCTCGTAGTAAACCGGAAAGTACGGGTATCGTCTCTCAGGGACTGGTACAACCTTATGATTTATCAATTCTATGGAGTAAACTATAGGTAGAAATGGTTTTGTTGATGAAATTATTAACTAATGGCAAAATAATTAAACAAAATAAGCTAATTAAAACTTGTCGGGAGAAAATCAATGGGAGAAGCTCCGGGAGTCACTACCTATCATATCCAAATTAATTCACATATTCCAATCAATTTAATCCAACTCTCTACAGCCAGGATATCACGAATGTGCTAGCTATCCCTGTCGGGAATTACTACGTACTAAGTAATTAATTCAAATCCTACTGTAGTAGCTCAATGAGTTAATTATTTAGTCTGAAGACCGATATCCTATTTAAAACCGCATAGTACCTTATTTAATCCACTGTCGCTTCGATAAGTTACTATGTCACATGAAATATGTTCAGTTATTAGGGTTTCACTGTCGCTAATAACCTAATTAACTACAAATCATTGTATTGGTGGCCAGTCAACACAAAGCATTAAGCAATTTCATGCAATAGAGATTGGAAGAAAAGAATTCTGAATCAATCCATCAAATCAAGAAATAGCTACATCCAATGGTGTTTCCCCCAGAAATTGGGGTTTAGTTCATGACGAAAATAAAACACACAATCATGTTCATAACCATCATTATATTAATCAATGAAAATTGACGAAAATACTCTGGAAAAGGCTAAATTGGAGACTGCTGATTCGTCGCCCAACTCGCCAATCGAGCCTTCTCCGCAATTGCTCGCTACGCCGCGCTGTTCTCCAAAGAAGTTCCGCCGCCAATTCCAATTCCGCTATGCACTGCTTCCCAAAAAAGAATTCTCGTCCGGTCCGTCCTTGTGTCCCCCTGGCCAAGAATTCCTTTCTCATCAAAAGTCTCTGGCCCAAAATAACAATTTCCCAGAGAAGCCCTTCCTCCGTCCAAATTACTTCTGCTTTGCTAGGGAAGAAAAAGAATGGGCCTTTGGCCCATGGTCAACTTGCCTAGGAAGAACATGCTCCTGTCACCGGTCCAAGTTTAATCAAATAGTGGCCTTTCAAATTAGTCCACTCCCGATTTGATTGTGCTCTTTCCCATCTGCATATGCTTCCATCCTCTTTTGCTTTTCCACCTAAAATATATCACAATGCTAACATATGGCGGTAATGGTTTTACAACCATTTGAGAGTCAGTTGGCATTAAAACGAGCAGTATATGTCTCAAACGTATCATGAAATAATCACATTAAGCACATGAAATCAATATGTTTTCGACAATTATCACAACCCCACACTCAATTGTTGCTTATCCCTAAGCAACGACTCAAAAGGCACAAACACATAACCATCCAAAACAATGACACACCACAGACTCAACACTCAAACACTCAAAACAAAACACAAAATTTTCCTTGTACTCCTGTTGTAATCAGTAGTTTCTTTCTCAACGGATGAGTTGTGCTTTATTGATCATACCCTTTCACCCCACACTCAAGGTCTTGCAATCCTTTAAGCATTGACTGACTCAAATCCACCAAAAACTCAATTAGCAAACACTCAATTCAGATCGTCGGTAGTGGGTGGTTAACAACTTATGGTGCAACAGTTATTAAGAGAATCTAACCACATCAGTGAGGTGCATATCTTGTGAGGACAATCTGGCTTACTTACACCAATCATAAGCAATCAACAAAGCATGAGTCTCAAAAATTAATGGGGGAAGCCTTTCGCAAACATGATTTTAACTTTAAGCACATCACTACCTTTTATGACAAGGAGAGGCTTTCTCTCTT